CAGGGAGGCAAAACACCTGCTTATAACCTGTTTTATATACAAATACAAAATATACAAAATCCCCCCTGGCTTTCACATACAATAAATTATCTCCAGAAGTGCATGAACCAGGTCAATCGAGGGAAGTTATACTTTGTTTTGTTCACCATTTTGGAACATCACTGTCGATCCTTCTCACCACAGGTCAGTCACCAGCACACACCCATGCGTGTCTGCATTCGTAGCTGCCACAGCGATTCCACGCCTGTATGCAAATACATTAGCCTGCGACTTAAGATGCCAACTATAGTCCTGGCTGGTTTGGCTTAGTGGATAGAGCATCGGCCTGAGGACTGAGGGGTCCCGGGTTCGATTCCGGTTAAGGGTATGTACCTTGGTTGAGGACACATCCCTAGTGGGGGGTGTGCAGGAGGCAGCTGATTGATGTTTCTAACTCTCTATCCCTCTCCCTTCCTCTCTGTAAAAAAATCAATAAAATGTATTTTTTTAAAATGTCAACTATAAACTGTTGGCAAAATTCAGTTGGATGTTGTGTTTTAATAATCCAAACTTAATCATTTTGTCAGGGACGAGCATGATCGGGTGTAGCCCAATAGTGAAGTGCGTCATCTTTTATTATAAATTACTTTCACCGCCCTCCTCTCTCCTTGTTCTAAGGCAGGGAGGGCATCCTATCAATTTCTTACCGAGGAAATGGCCGCTGTGGACAAACCCGCCCCCTCCCTCAGCCGCAATCCCCGCTGTCAAATGGGAGCCGCCAAGCACAGACTCCATGCCCGGGGTCCAGAGAGCGCCCCGGGGTCCCTGGGGTTCGTGCTTCACCCCGGGCCAGCTTCCCAGTCGGTCAGGCCGCCTGTTCATCGATCTCCAGACACTCGGACTCCAATCCCCTCGCAGTTCGATTCCCGCCGGAAGCGACCGCTCCCGGTTGCTATGGGCTACGGCGACTGCGCAGAGGCCCCGCCAGGCCGCTAGGGTGCGCGGTGGCGTCTAGGGCGCATGCGTCTGGCCCACCTCGGCCTTGAAGATTCAGGTTCTTAGGTGTAGAGCAGTGGTTCTCAACCTTGGCTGCACATTAGAATCACCTGGGAATCTTTTTAAAATCCTGATTTCTGGGCCTCATCCTCCGGAAATTCTGTTTCTTTGTTACTAATGTTGTGGCCCCACCCCATAACAAAGAAACAGAATTTCTGGAGGATGAGGCCCAGAAATCAGGATTTTAAAAAGATTCCCAGGTGATGCTAATGTGCAGCCAAGGTTGAGAACCACTGCCCCAAATGCTTTCCGGTTGCGGGGTTGGAAATGCCTGCTTCCCCGCGGAGTGGGTTGTTGGCGTGGTTGGTTACTAGAATCCACTCGGCCTCCTTCTTTCTTTTTTAATATATTTTTGTGGATTTCAGAGAGGAAGGGGGGAAAGAGAAACAGCAATGATGAGAATCACTGATCGGCTGCCCCCTGCACGCCCACCCCTGGGGATGGAGCCCGCAACCCGGGAAAGTGCCCAACCCCACCATGACCTCAGGGCTCATAGGTCCCTGCCCCACCACTGAGCCACGCTGTCAGGGTTGGCAAGGCGCCCGGAGCGGGCGCTGGCACCCACAAAAAGATCAGGTAAAGCAGCAGATTAAGAGGCAGGAAGAAGGCTTGGCCAGGCCCCGCGGTTCTCTCTTTACCGGCTGGAGGCTACCGGTCAAATCGAGCTTTAAAGGGGCTTGTGCCCCGTGGCCACGGACCCCTGAGGGCCACTTATTGCCTCCGAAGCAATCGGTGCAGTTGAGCTGCTCGCCGCTGACAAGGTTCTGTACCAAGGCGGCTGTGGGAGCGGAGGCGGACAGTCAATACTCCTGCGTTTCCCGCTGCCTGTTGCTCAAACTGAAAAGGAATCTGAACCCACACCCCCAGCCCCACCTCCTTAGGACTCCGAAGCTTCTTTGACCGACTAGTTCGTACCCTTTGTGACGTCACCGTCCCGCCCACTCTCTCACCGGTTTCTTGAGGGGGGTTGGGGGTGCCTGCACCTGCCTGGCCCTGAGCCGCAAGTGCCTCGCCCCACTCCACACTGACTCACCCAGTGTTCCCAGCCGGGTGACTGAGGGATCTGAGCCCCTGCTGCCCAGGTTAGGGGACTTGTGCTTGGCCGAGCAGATCACTTCCTACAGCAAAATTGGACCCACTGCATTTTACAAGGGGTTCGGGCGGGTGGGTTTATGGAGTGCAGGACAAAAGGCGAGGGCAACAGGAAGGCCACTTGGAGGAAGGAAGGAGACCCTGAGAAGACCGAAGTATGGAGGGTTCAGGAGGGTGGGAGTGGGGGTGCTATTCCAGGGACAGGGAGGCCCAGGCCAGGAGTCCAGCCGCCTTCCACATCTTTACTACCGCCTGAACCCATTTTCCCCAGCTTTGCCGCCCCTCCTCGGCCGCCCCACCAAATCCAACCCAAGGTCTAAGCCAGAAGCCCGGGCGTTATCCTCAGCACCTGCTCGTGAAGTCATCCAGACCCAGCTCTTTTCCTTATGATAAATCTCAAACTTCAACTTCGTATTCACATTCCCATGACCTGACTCCTGGTACAGCTCCAATCTCACCCTCTTCTACACTCACCTTGCATTTCATTCATTCCAGACAGCTGATCCTAAAACTCAGCCTGCTTGTTCATGGCTGTGCCCTTTGACTTCAATGCCAGTCACGCCTTCTCCCTCCCCCTTATTCATCTGGTGGACTCCAATTCTAAATTTTCCCCAAAATGTCCTCACCCACAGCCCCCCTTTTCTAGACCACAGGATTTATAGTCACCTATTCAACATTTACTCCACTAATGCTGATTAATCACCTGCTGTGATCAAGGCTTTTGGCATTTCTGGGTGGGATTTCCACTGTTTTGTATTTGTTTGCCTGTCTTCCCTCTCTGGCCAAGAATGTTGCTCATTTCTGAATCCCCAGTACTGAGCCCAGGGCCTGGCACCCAGCAGGCATCCGGTTACCATTTCTTAAAGAAATGGAAAAGCAGACACAAAGGGAAGAGAAAGCCCAAGAAGTCCTTTGAACAAATACCCTGGGCCTAGAAAGGGAGATAAGTCAGCCTAATGAGGCAGATTGAACGTCTGGCTCCCACACGCTGGCAAGGGACGAATTTGCTCAGTTCAGTGCTGATGGAATCGCACAGTTAGCCCCTCTGGAAGGAATTTTCTTCTCCCGCCGCACTCTGCAGAATGTCCATCCCTGAGCCTCACTATTTTTTTATATCAGCAATAACAACACCCACAACACATCGGCAGTCAGGTCCTCAGAGTTCAGCTGCATCTTTGGACTCAGGGTGAGAACACTCCTCTGGAACACTGTGTTCCCGAGAGCTGAGGCGAGGGACTCCCACTTGTTCTGTGGACAACTCATCCATCTCAGAAGACAGTGTGCAGGAGTGAAGCGTGGGTTAGAGCGGCAGAGGAATAGCTCCTGGAAGGCCAAATTAGCCCAGGATTATGGTGAGTCGGAAAGGAAGAGGCTGTTGCTAGGCCACCGGCACAGACCCCCTCCTCCTCTCAGGGTGTCCTGCCTGCTGGAGAAAAGCTGGGGACTTCTTCAGAGAATGCAGCTGCTCCCCAGCCAGCCCAGGAGAGGCAGGGCAGGGCAGGAGCCAGGACCTTGTGAGAACAAGCATGGACAAGTCCCTTTTGAACGTCATTTCTGTTGTAATGCAGGGAACAATGCATCACAGAGTTATCGTGGAGGTGAAAAGATTCTTAAATAGAGATAAGCTTTGTATGGAAAGCACTTACCACAGTGCCGGGCACCTGAAGGGCACACAGCAATCATTAGCTGTTGTTCACTCAGGGTATTTACTGAGCACTTCCATCCCAGCACTGTTCTAGGGGCCAGTAGGAAGGCATTGAACAAAAGCGAAGTCTGCCCCGGAGGAGTGCTAACCTCCTGGCTGAGGATAAGTAAGTGCTTCTGCTGTGTGAGGTGGTGGGAAGCGATGGGGAGAAAGGTAAGAGGGTGGAGGGTAGAGTGTCAGGAGGTCTGGAAGAGCCTCACTGCTTGGGGAGGGGGTGGTGGGTGACAAGTAAAAGCCTGAAGGGTAGGGAAGAGCAGTCCGGCCGAGGACAGAGCGCTGCCACCTGAGGTAGGGCTGCCTATGGTGTCTAGGGAACATCTGACCAGTGAGGCAGTCAGTGGTTCGGAGGAGGAGTCGCAGTGCCTGGAGGGCTGGTGGGTCCTGGCCAGGACTTGGCCTTTACCCTGGGGCCTCTGGAGAATTTTGAGCAGCAGAATGACAGGGTCCAAGTTTCATTTTAATGGGCCCCCTCTGGCTGATGTTTAGAAAATCGACTGGAGGGGCCACAGTGGACACGGGGAGCCCAGGTAAGGAGTGATGGTGGCATAAGACTTATTAGTTTGGGCAAAGCAGTCACGGCAGTGCGTGCCCGGCACATCGGCTGCATTTTAAGCACCCTTTCCATTGCTGGGGCTCTGCTGTGTGGAGGGCACGTCCTGGCCCCTCATGTCCATTACCTCATTTAGTTCTCCTGATTTTAGGGGTATTTTCAGTCTCCAAATGAGGAAACCAGGTTTTAGAGGGGTCAAGCCACTGGCCCAAGATGTTCCTGGCTATGGTAGGGAGGCTGTGGATAGAAACAGCCTCAGGCAGTAACAGAAACTGAGGCCTGCACTCCGTTCCTGTGGAAATCGGCTTACTTTTGCCTGGCCTTTAAGGGCCCACTTCGAGGAGTAAAGTATGGGTCCCATCTCCCTGAGCACCCTCACAGGCAGGCAGAAGGAGGCTGGGGCCCTGGCCTGGATAAAGATCTCTCAGCCCTCAAACCTGGCCCAGGGCTGGGATCAGAGGAGGAAACCCCAGTTCACATTTCGCTCCCAGAGTGAAGCACCTGGAAAGGAAACTGCCTGGGATATCCCAAAAAGCTCAGGACAGGGTGAGGACAAACCTCGCTTACCTGGGCCCCAGTCTATAGGGGAGCTGGGGTGAAGGGGGAGGCAGATCTTACCTGCAGGCCTGGAGCTGCTGCACGTCCTTCTCCAGTCACTGCCCAGAGAGTCTGTTTCCCTCCCTGGAAGGTGGTGGCCCTTGTCCCAGCTGCGTTCCTGCTCCTGGAGGGTGGTGCCCGCTCCTGGTCAGCTGACTCACCAGGCCTGGGACTCGGGCAGGCCCAGGTAATTCTCTGGGCAGGGCAAACAGAGGCCACCAGGCCCAGCGGAGGGCTCTGGCCTTTGTCTAGATGTGGAGGTGGGTTTGGGGCACACATAGCTGTTACTATTAAGAGAGATTTGAACCAAAACTTCTTGGCCTTCAGATTTTCATTGGACACCAGTCCTGCTGAACATGAAGGCAGTTTGAGGGGTATCCAGGGTCTTAAAAAATCGTGATCCAGCATTTCCTCTTCTGGGAATTTGTTACAAAAAATAGCCCTGGTCGATTTGCTCAGTGGATAGAGCGTTGGCCTGCGGACTGGGGGGTCCCGGGTTCGATTCCAGTCAGGGGTACCTGCCAGGGTTGTGGGTTCAGTCCCCACTGGGAGGTGTGCAGGAGGCAGCTGATCTGTGATTCTTTCTCATCATTGATATTTCTCCCTCTCCCTTCCTCTCTGAAAGCAATAAAAATACATTATAAATAAATAAACAAACAAACAAGTAGGCAGTGAGGTCTCAGGGCCCATCACCATGTTGCTTATAATAGGCAAATCTAGAAATCCCAAATGCCCATCATGAGGTCTGATTAAAAGTCAGTACCTATGGCCCTAACCGGTTTGGCTCAGTGGATAGAGCGTCGGCCTGTGGACTGAAGGGTCTCGGGTTCGATTCTGGTCAAGGGCATGTACCTTGGTTGCGGGCACGTCCCCAGTGGGGGGTGTGCCGGAGGCAGCAAACAAACAAGTAGGCAAACAAACAAGTGAGGTCTCAGGGCCCATCACCATGTTGCTTACAATAGGCAAATCTAGAAATCCCAAATGCCCATCATGAGGTCTGATTATAAGTCAGTACCTATGGACGATCGCACAGCTATCAACGTTGTTTAAGGAAGAAGCCATGGGGAATGTCCCTGAGATACTGGCATGATCAGGACTGTGATACTCTTCTTGTGATTTGCTTTTATTGTTTTGAAAGTGGATCTACATTGACAACGGTCTGGGAGGGCCCATACTAAATGCTGAAAATCTGGATGGCGGGTGGGGTTTTGGGTTTGTACTTTTGTGTTTATTCTAAGGTGGTGGAGTTTTGTTTTGTTTCAAAGTTAGTTTTTGCTTTGAGTGCTTATGATTTTTCAAAGAGGAAGCAAATTACATTTGTTTTAAAAAGGAATTTAGATTGATTGTGTGCTGGGATAGGAGGGGATCTTTTCTATAGTACATTTTTTGGTGCCTTTTAAATTTTGAAACATTTGAATGTATTACATATCCCCCACAAAATAATCACATAAAATTAAACAGAAAGGAGGACAAATTGTGTTTAGTTCCTGGTGTTTAGTTGTACCAAGGTGCCTGTCACACTTGGTGCCCTGTGTGCGGGGCAGTCCCATGTGATGACGCAGGGCACCCACACAGGGTGGGGTGAGTATCAGGGCTGCTCACCAGGCCAGGCAGGTCCAGGTCAGTCCCCATGACAAGCCTGGGTGGAGCTGCACTAGGCTCGGGTGTCAGACCCTGACCCGGGCCCGGCTGGTGTTCGGCCCCCTGGAGGAGAGAACTGCTCCCCTCTGAGGAGCTTACAGCCAAGAGTCCCATAGGAAATATAAGAGACAATAGCAAGAAAAGCAGCTATTATTAATGTAGCACAGTGGACGAAAAGGGGGCCACATACTAACCCTGACAAGCTCAGGGAGGCCTGCATGGTGGCTTTACAAACTCAGAGGCCGAAAGTAACCACAGAGGAGGATCTGAACGCTGAAATTCCTAACTGAAAGCGGGTCACTGGGCGGGAGGGGGGCGGGGACGGGAGTCACATCCTAGGCATGTAGCTTCCTGGGCAAAGGTGGATCTTTACCTTAAGTGAACCCGTCTATTGTCTTTTCACACTAAGAGAGCACACCTCTGAAATGGCAGAGTAACCTTTTCCAGGCCCATCAAGGCGCAGCTGCCTGCACCGGAGCAGGAGGTCCCGGAACCGCTCCTCGTTACCTTGCTCCCAGCGTACCCCCTCGATGTGCTGTAAATGTTCATTAACTATCCTGTACCCACCAAGGCAAACACCAATAGGGTTTCTCTATTTTGCCTTTTTATCCAATCCCAGAGATGTCCCCACTTTGCTTTCTCCCGCCTCCTTAATCTACCACTAATGGATTTCAAGGAACCCTCCTTCCCTTCTCCCTTTATCCCAGCGTATAAAATAAGCTGCCATTCTCCAGAGCATTTTCTCAATCCATTGAGATTTTGCCTCCCAGCAGTTGTCATCAGTTTGGCTCAAATAAACTCATAAAGATTATCTACATACAGGCTTGGAAGTCCCTTCCAGTCCTGCCTGTGGAACTAAAGATCCTGCCCCAGGTGCTTGAAAGGTCTCTCTCCGTGGCTCCTTTCATCCCTGTGAGCAGGCGCGAGAGGAAAGCCCCTTCCCTAGTTACACGCTGGAAAGTGGCTCCAAGTCATGTTTTCTCTTCTGTGAGACAAATGCAGCTTGAAGCTGAAGTGTGGACACACCCAGGGCTGTGCCACGTGGTCCTGAAGCATGAAGTAAACCGTGGGCGATGGGCCCCCTTAGGCCAGGTCTTCAAGGCCAAAGAAAAGTAGGAAATAGAGATCCTGACTAAACCAAATGACACCCTCCTCCCC